TCGACCTGCCCCAGGAGCTGCTGATACAGTTCTACAGAGGAATCATCGAGTCTGTTCTCTGCTCATCCATCACTGTCTGGTTTGGCTCAGCAACCAAACAGGACAAGTACAGACTTCAGAGGACAGTCAGGACTGTAGAAAAGGTCATTGGTGTGAGCCTGCCCTCCATGGAGGACCTGTACACCTCACGGGTCAAAAGGAGGGCGGAGAGGATCACTGCTGACCCCTCACACCCTGGACACAATCTGTTTGAACTCCTCCCCTCTGAACGGCATTACAGGTCACTGTGCACTAAGACAACCAGGCACAGGGACAGTTTCTTCCCCCAGGCTGTCGCTCTGATGAACACTTAACCCACGGCAGTATGACTGGACAATAACCCTCAGTGGAATACCTGTAAATAAAGACAAACAACAAAACTTTAAATTGCACTCTCCACTGCACTGGAAGCCAGTGCAACGAGCAGAGAACCGGAGTGATATGGGCAAATTTGGATGTGTTGGACAACAGCCGGGCTGCAGCATTTTGAACTAATTGCAACTTATGGAGAAAGGATTGTGACAGGCTGGCATAAAGAGCGTTACAGTAGTCCAGACGCGCCGTGATAAAAGCATGGATAGCTTTTTCTAGATTTGCACATGATAAAAATGGCTTAACCTTCGCTAACAGCCATAAATGAAAGAAGCTAGATTTGACTACGGCTCTGATCTGTTTTTCAAAGTTGAAGCCACTATCAAATATACAGTGCCTTGCGAAAGTATTCGGCCCCCTTGAACTTTGCGACCTTTTGCCACATTTCAGGCTTCAAACATAAAGATATAAAAACTGTAATTTTTTGTGAAGAATCAACAACAAGTGGGACACAATCATGAAGTGGAACGAAATTTATTGGATATATCAAACTTTTTTAACAAATAAAAAACAGAAAAATTGGGCGTGCAAAATTATTCAGCCCCCTTAAGTTAATACTTTGTAGCGCCACCTTTTGCTGCGATTACAGCTGTAAGTCGCTTGGGGTATGTCTCTATCAGTTTTGCACATCGAGAGACTGAAATTTTTGCCCATTCCTCCTTGCAAAACAGCTTGAGCTCAGTGAGGTTGGATGGAGAGCGTTTGTGAACAGCAGTTTTCAGTTCTTTCCACAGATTCTCGATTGGATTCAGGTCTGGACTTTGACTTGGCCATTCTAACACCTGGATATGTTTATTTGTGAACCATTCCATTGTAGATTTTGCTTTATGTTTTGGATCATTGTCTTGTTGGAAGACAAATCTCCGTCCCAGTCTCAGGTCTTTTGCAGACTCCATCAGGTTTCCTTCCAGAATGGTCCTGTATTTGGCTCCATCCATCTTCCCATCAATTTTAACCATCTTCCCTGTCCCTGCTGAAGAAAAGCAGGCCCAAACCATGATGCTGCCACCACCATGTTTGACAGTGGGGATGGTGTGTTCAGGGTGATGAGCTGTGTTGCTTTTACGCCAAACATAACGTTTTGCATTGTTGCCAAAAAGTTCGATTTTGGTTTCATCTGACCAGAGCACCTTCTTCCACATGTTTGGTGTGTCTCCCAGGTGGCTTGTGGCAAACTTTAAACGACACTTTTTATGGATATCTTTAAGAAATGGCTTTCTTCTTGCCACTCTTCCATAAAGGCCAGATTTGTGCAGTATACGACTGATTGTTGTCCTATGGACAGCGTCTCCCACCTCAGCTGTAGATCTCTGCAGTTCATCCAGAGTGATCATGGGCCTCTTGGCTGCATCTCTGATCAGTCTTCTCCTTGTATGAGCTGAAGGTTTAGAGGGACGGCCAGGTCTTGGTAGATTTGCAGTGGTCTGATACTCCTTCCATTTCAATATTATCGCTTGCACAGTGCTCCTTGGGATGTTTAAAGCTTGGGAAATCTTTTTGTATCCAAATCCGGCTTTAAACTTCTCCACAACAGTATCTTGGACCTGCCTGGTGTGTTCCTTGTTCTTCATGATGCTCTCTGCGCTTTAAACGGACCTCTGAGACTATCACAGTGCAGGTGCATTTATATGGAGACTTGATTACACACAGGTGGATTCTATTTATCATCCTTTGTCATTTAGGTCAACATTGGATCATTCAGAGATCCTCACTGAACTTCTTTAGAGAGTTTGCTGCACTGAAAGTAAAGGGGCTGAATAATTTTGCACGCCCAATTTTTCAGTTTTTTATTTGTTACAAAAGTTTGAAATATCCAATAAATTTCATTCCACTTCATGATTGTGTCCCACTTGTTGTTGATTCTTCCCAAAAAATTACAGTTTTATATCTTTATGTTTGAAGCCTGAAATGTGGCAAAAGGTCGCAAAGTTCAAGGGGGCCGAATACTTTCGCAAGGCACTGTAACTCCTAGGTTTGTTAGCGAATCTTTAAGTGGAGGGGCAGACACATCTAACTTAGGGACACCTGCGTGTGGTCCGGCGCTGATCAGCATATACTCAGTTTTACTGTCATTTAGATGCAGAAAATTCTGCACTAACCATTTCTTGATGTCTTGGATGCAGTCATCTAAAGAGGCAAGTGGATTTTGATTATCCTGTGTTAACGGTATATAAATCTGTATATCATCGGCATAAAAATGAAAGTGAACTTTATGATTTGCTATAATAGGTGCTAGAGGCAGCATGTATAGGGAGAATAACAACGGAGCCAGGGTTGAACCTTGCCGGACACCTGAAGTGAGAGGAGCTGTGTCAGAGGCAAAGCCGTCAACGACAACGGAAAAAGTTTTATTGGTAAAAAAAGAGCTAAACCATCTTAAAACCGACCCTCTCAGGCCAATAAGATGTTCAAGTTTGGAGAGTAGGATTACATGGTCAACATTATCAAAAGCTGCAGACAAGTCTAAGAGGACCAGCATTACAGACCGTTTTGCAACTAAGGCCGTGGTAATATCATTGTGGACCCTCACCAGAGCAGACTCCGTGCTGTGGCGGGCTTTAAAGCCAGATTGAAATTTGTCAGCCACACCAAGACAATCTATGTGGGACTGAAGCTGGGTGAGGACGAGCTTTTCCATTACCTTAAATGCAAAGGGCAACAAAGAAATAGGATGAAAATTAGAAACCAGGGAGGGGTCAAGATTCAATTTTTTTGAGGAGTGGTCTTACTACCGCATGCTTAAGGGCAGCGGGGATCTCCCCCCTCTGCAGGCAGCAAATTATAAGAGACAGCAAGAAAAGCCCAACAGTATCAATAGCCTCCTTAATAATCCTTGCAGGGAGGGGGTCCAGAGGGGATGAGGTAGGTTTTAACTCCAACACACATTTCTTTAGCTGGGGTAAAGAAATTGGAGTAAAGGAATGGAATGTCTGGGATATCTGAGCTACCAAGGGTATATCTGGTGAGGACATGGGAATATTTTGTCTATTGTAAATGAAGTATTTCAGAAAATGATTGCATAAGGACACCGAGCCCTCAAGGTGGGGGGCGCCCGCCGGATTAATAACTGAATCAATGGTTTTAAAGAGAGTTCTTGGATGCTGCCCGCTTTTCGCGATGATGTTGGAGAGGTATTGAGATTTCGCGTCTCTTACGGCCTCCTGGTATAGCCGTAGGCTGTCCCTCAGAATGCCCAGAGAGACGTGTAGGCCGTCCTTTTTCCATTTCCGTTCCGCCCGCCTACATTGTCTCCGCAGGGTACGCGTACACGCGTGGTGTCGTTCAGTGTCATTTACTGCTTGTTAATACTGCTATCTTGTTATATTACACAGGTTTACTGTGGTTTACTGTTTGCACATTGAGAGCCGATGTACCAGAGTCAAATTCCTTGTGTGTACATCACACCTGGCCAATAAAACCGATTCTGATTCTGATAAATATTGATTCTGAACTGCTCCAGATGATGTACGTGGCACAGTTGCGGTTGTAGTGTAGAGGTTTGGAGTTGTCTTAACTGGGTTTCTTGCTTTAGTAAAAATTGTAGTCACCCTCAATATGTGAAATGCCTCTCTCTCTGTAATGCCACACTTTATTACATGTTGTGTTTTTGTATAGTATTGATGGCTTCTATAATTGCGACGTGATAGTGGTGAATTAATAAGTCGGGTAAGTCCCCAGTGAAGGCCCAGGTACCAAGCGCACGGCCCGCCACTGGTTGACACCAGTACTCATACGAAGACTTAGTATTTTGCATGATTCATACTTTAGGCATCATAAAAGTAAAGATCTGAAATAACCATAAGTCTGTGTAGCAGAAGTGTGTTTTCTTCTTCTTTCCTGCTTTGTTCACCGGTTTCCAGCTCAGATTCATGCTTCAGAGAACCACAGGTGACGCAGACCTTCACAACTAAACTCTTATTACTAAACATCACCAGTGAAAGTCTCCTTTCTTCTGCTGCAGGACAGATAGTCCCCAACTACCACCTGTCGTCCTCCTCATCGTCTTCGTCCTCCTCCCCGTCCTTCCACAGCAGTGTGGTAAATTTGGACCCAATCCTCCCCCACCTCCCCACGGCTCGTCCCGGCGAGCTGAGGGAGTGCTACTACAACCTGGCAGAGCGGGGAACCTGCAGCGTGCTGGCTACCAACACCAGCCAGCAGGAGTGCTGCTGCACGCTGGGGGAGGGCTGGGGGCTGGGCTGCCAGTACCACACCTGTCCCCCAGTAAACACAGGTGAGACACCAGGTGCACAGGAAGTTCATCAGGGCTGAGTTATGCTGGAAAAGCTAAGTGTCTAGCTTGTGTTTGTAGTGTTGAGAACAGCCACACTAGAGGGTGAGGTGAGAATCATCCATTACAGAGAGAAATGGGTGATTTTGTATGTTTATGTTGCACAAACCCCGTCCAGAGATCAGCAGCACCAGTGACTCTGAGTCCAGACCCTGGTCCAGCTTATCGTAGACCTCCACCGTTGTCCACCAGCTAACTCAGAGCAGAGCAGAGTTTGAGTTTCTTGTATGACACTTACCAGATGTCTGTGTTGTGAATGTGTGTGTGCAGCCCAGTTTCTGTCCCTGTGTCCCAGTGGGGTAGGATACGTCACTACTGGACCAGGAGCCTTCAGCTATAGAGGTACGCACACAGGTTGTAGACAGACTGTTGATTTAAATAACCTGGGCTGAAGGTAAAGCCCACAGCCAGCTCACTAAATCCCCAAAGCATGATGGGAATTGTAGTTCCAAAAGGTGGGACATGGTCATCCCAAGAGTTAAACTGATTCTACAAACATTAGCTTGTTTTGGTTTTGCACAACCAGCACATTCGTTTGACAAGACTAAATTTCAGAATGTCTGGACAAAAACCTCACACAGTTTAAGATGGGATACAACTTTTTCTCTTGTAGCTGCCGGGATAATAATAAAGAGAGAAAACTGGTTTCAAACCAGTCTATTTGGTGTCAAACCGAAATTGTGTGCACCCAAAATGCTTGTAATCACCCCCTGTTGTACACAGCTGCAGTGAGAACGGTAGCACTGTTTGTTTGCTCTGCCATGTGTTTCCAGATGTGGATGAGTGTAAGCGTTTCCATCCAGTGGTGTGTAAGAACGGAGTGTGTGTCAACAACATCCCCGGGTACAACTGCTACTGCTCCAGTGGATATGTTTACAACAGCACACTGCTGGAGTGTATCGGTACAAACAACACACACACAGATATATGGCCTATGCTGCATGAAGTACAGTTGCTGTCCTATGACTCTGTTAGGTCTTCCCCGCTGCAGTAATATACCGACCTGTGACCAGAAGGTTTCCATAACCTGAACCTGCAAGGACAAAAGTGGTCGGTTCTGCTCTGTTAAGCTAATACTTGAGATGTGATGCTGACATTTAACCAATCACAGCCTTGCCAACCCAGTCCCTTGAGTCTCTGGAACTTGATTTTGGACTGCCTCCTGAGGGGGGGGTAGAAATTTAGCTCCAGGAACTTATGTCCAAAGCAGCTGAGCACAGTGAAAGCAAAAGCACAACCTGAGACAAGGGGCAGGAGTTCGTTCTAGGTACTATGTCCGTTTCTCTCTCAGATTACGATGAGTGTGAGGAGGAGAGTTGTGTCGGAGGAGTGTGTGTGAACACGGTGGGCTCCTACTACTGCAGCTGTCAGCCTCCGCTGGTGCTCGACGACACACAGCGGAACTGTGTCAACTCGTCCCACCTCACTGTGGGTAAGACGCCTGCCATCAGCCTCCTCCTGCTGCTCATCCACATACCAGCCATAGCCTAAAGGTCTTTGGATCAACTGTGCCATCTGCTGTGTAAATAAACCTGAGTTGAGTTGTTTGCTCCTCCTGCAGACGAGAACCTGTCCGTGTGCTGGCAGCACGTCTCAGCAGACCTGATGTGTCAGAGTCCTCTGCTGGGCCCTCAGGTCACCTTCATGGACTGCTGCTGCCTGTACGGCGAGGGATGGGGGATGGAGTGTGCCCTCTGCCCCTCCACTGACTCAGGTAAAAACCTCAGAGGAGTCAGATCACCAGAAACGTTTGTGTGGTCTGACACACATGCATCTGCTGCCCATTCCAGTCAGGACGGACAAAAGAAAACAGCTGCTTACTTCCACCTCCAGTAGCTTCATGTGCAGTGGAGTCTGTCCCCCGATGCACACTCCCTCCCTGTTCGCTCTGTGTGTGCGCTCCACCACCTCCTGAGGGTTAGGGGCTAGGGCTCAGCTAGACCCTGTTCACAAGATGAGTAACTGACGTCTCTCTGTGTCTCTGTAGAGGACTACGCTCTTCTGTGCAGTTCGTTTTACCCACCCCGTTTACCGGATTCGAGCAGACCAGAGACAGGAGTGAGACCGGGAGCTGGACGAGGAGGAGTGAGCGGTACAGACACTGTTTTTATTTTCAAATCGTTTCTAATTCTCTCTACAGTTTGTTCTTGAGGTTTTTTTTTTCTCTAAATGTGCCTTTATAAATTTTTGTTCCTGTTACATCGCTCATTTAGCTCTTTTCCTCCTCTCTCGTTGTCTTATATCTTCTGTGCTTATTTCCTATCCTCCTTCCTTATTTCTTCTCCTCTCCTTCCCTCTCCTCCTCCCCTCCTCAGCTCCTCCGGCCTTCCCCCCCTTCAGTCTGGACTCCTTTCCCCCAGCTCTGGTTCCCGGCGGAGACTTCAGTCATGCCGACTACGACGACTACTCTCCAGCAGGAGGCAGCAGGTCGGGCTCCAGAGAGAGGACGCCGACCTCCTTCGGTCTGCCGGACCGAGCCTATCGTAGGCCCGAGTACGGGTGAGACCTGACACTCTGAACAGTGAATTTAAAAATTTTCTGAAAATACTTGAACCCCTTACTTAAGTAAAAGTAATAATACCTTGTCAATATACTTGTGTATACATCTATGTGGGAAAACAGCTACTAACCCCAGTGTTTGTCTCCGTCTCTCTCAGCACTGGTTACTACACCGAAGGAGACTACAGTCCCCCTGATGCCTCCCGACCCAGGCCACCAACTTTACACCTCCCCCCAGACCCCCGCGAAGAGATTGCGTTCGGGGTCCGGCCGCCTCCTCCATCCCAACCCGATGGCCCCCCTATCAGCCTGGCCCCACTACCTGTAGCTCCCTACGAGGAGCAGGACGAGGATGAGGAGGAAACTTGGAGGCCCAGGCCGCCGTTCCCTCCTTTCACTGAGAGTGGAGGAGGAGCTCAGAGGAGAGTGTATGACAGTGAGTCCACCCGGCATGCTGGGCGCTTACTTCAATCAGTGCAGAGTTTGTTTTTAGTGTGAGCTGTTAATTCAAGGGGTCGTGTTTTTAGCCCCTGAGGTTACAGCCCTCTCTCGCTCTCACTCATCTTCCTCTTGTCTTTCAGGGCGTTATGAGCCCTACGCCAGCCTGAGCGCAGCAGAGGACTGTGGGATACTGCATGGCTGTGAGAACGGCAGGTGTATTCGCGTCACAGAGGGTTACACCTGTGACTGCTACCAAGGTTATGAGCTGGACATGACCTCCATGACCTGTATAGGTAGGAAGAGATGGCTGCTTCGAATTGTCACCACATTCATAGTGATATCATGTCAGACCAGTCAAGTGGCAAGAAGCTCTCCTAACTGTACCGTCTGTGAGTCACATGATAATGTAGCAGTATGACATGTACATACACTAGAAGAAAGGACTTTGGGGAACAAAGGAGCCTGATATGGACTTTTTAATTGAAGGGAGAACAAATAAGTAGTTTTCTAGATAGTGGGAACTTAAGGTGAATTCACATCATCGTGGAACAACAAGGGTCTCACTCTGCATGTTTCCCACAGATCGGCGCGGTATTCAGCCCTCCGAAGCCCCAGGGGGCGCTGTACATTGACACCACTGTAGCTCCAATGCTAATGATGTTAGCAGACTTGTTTTTCCAACAAACCCTGTTGCTGCATATGTGTGCTGATCTTGATATGAAGCTGTGACTGAATTCACAAATTTAAGTGAGTTGTTTTTATCAGTCTGTTTCAAGCGGTGGTCTGCAGTGATTGGCTGTGCCCATAAAGGTCAGTGCAACTGGGGTCAAAGGTCAAGAATTTAAACCAGTGGGTCTCCACCTAACTCTGTGGTTATCACTGACGTAAACATTCAGTGCACCGCCCCTCGGACTGCAGCACCGCGGCCCGTAATGTGACTGTGGGTTTACAGGGTACGGGGCTGGGAACGAAAATGTACCTTTGGGGAAAATAGCGTTAACAGCCTTTTTTCTTACTGTGTAATTAAAGTGTAAAAAGAGCCACACACTGTATTACAGGGTGTACACAGAGTTGTATGTGTGCACACATGTACTGTATATAAACGTAGACACATATCTCCTGTCTCTTCTGATGTCTGACTGGGCTTGTGTGTATTAACGGGAAAGTTCAGTATTTTTCAAGTTGTTCTTTACGTACATGGTGTCTTTTATGTTGGTTCTTCTTGTTCTACTCTGTCATGGTGAGGTTACAAAGCCAGTACTGAAATGATTCATGAATAAATAACAAGATCTGTGTGTGTGTTTGTGTTTACAGATATAAACGAGTGTGATGGCGGCGTCAGCGTGGAGTTCCCATGTGTGAACGCTCGCTGTGTGAACACCGAGGGCTCGTTTCGCTGCGTCTGTAGGAGAGGATACGTCATGTCCCGCAGACTGAACCACTGTGTGGCTGCCTAGACCGGACTGCACCGGACTGGGCTCAATTAGACTGGTCTACATGATCGAAGACTGGACTACACACTAGCAGACTGGGCTGGACTAGATTAGACTTTTAGGACCAGATCTGATAAACCGGACTTGACCAGGCTAAGATGTTCTGGACTAAACTGGGCCAAGGTTTCACCAGATCAGTCCAGATTACAGAACAACCTTTGACCCCTTTTAGCTTGAACACGCCCCCTTTTCAAGTTCAGAAAATGCATTCAAAGCCCTCCCTCCTCCTCCACTGCTGGCGCTCCCACCCAGGTTTGGCTACGGTTTCTTTAATTCTTTGGGTGTATTCCAGAGGGTTTCAGGCTGTGAGGAAGGAGCAGAGATGCTGTGAGAGGTGACAGGATTATGTGTTAGATTCCGTGTGACTTACACTCCCCAGTATCTCCAATGTCATGAACGTCCACAGGCTGGTTCACTTAGAGACAAACCTGCAGAACCTGCCTGAGAATCCTCCTGTTTTAAGTTCCCTTCAGTCTCCCAGTGATCCACTGACAGATGCATATACATCCATGGACACAGCACCAGCAGCTGCTAATAGCTAATTCAGCATTCTTCATTTTCCAAAATGTCAACAAATGCAGGCTAAAAAACAGGCTCAATTTGTAGCCCACTGCGTAACTCACTGGGTCCATGGCACCGTCTTGTGAAAGTTTACACCTACATGTTAAAGACAGCTTTCCTAAATGAAAATGTAAAAGTGGGCTGTTGAGCAGGCTCTGTAACTGTGACTTGTTAAATGGTTTCAGCTGTTCAAATGCCTCAGTAGAACATCTGGTGCTTGGCCAGAATTCATAGGCTCACAGTAACTCATGTCTGTACGGCTCACTTTTCATGCACAAAGCCTGAAACCCTCCTTTTCTCCCAGCCAACATGGAGAGCAGTGACAGAGTACCATTGTGTAGTAGCACTACTCTTAAGTTGCGTACTCTGAATCTGCCATACTGTCCTCACTGCTGACAGTCGAGTGCTGTATTTATGTGTGTGGTGTGAAGGGCTGTAGCGCGGGTGAGCCTGACATTGTCTCGTAGTTTCGGCGGTGTGGTGGACCAGGAAACGTCAAGAAAACAGAATGTCAGCAGATGTGGTGACGACAAATAACCAGTTAAAACTCAGAGCGACAGATAGCCCTGTAACTTCAGCACTGTGCGGCTGCTGATTTGAATCATGCCTCAAATCAGTGCAGGTAAATAAAGAAAACAGCCAAGAGAAACACAGCTCGACTAGACGAGACTGGGCTGAATGAGGTAAGGCAGGAGACACACAGGGTTAAACACAGACTATTTTTCAGCTGGGTTTTTATCCAGGCCTGGCCCAAAGCCCTGCTCCCTTCAGGGGAACATAACATAAACTAATTATGCTTCAGTTTATTATTTACTGTGCAGTCAGTTTCAAATTCTGGTCCCAGTTTCCAGTGGTTCCCAGGTTCCAGTTTAGACCTGAATGGGAGTTCTGTGTTTGTGTTAGAGCTTCTTTGGTTTAGACATAGAGAAAGGTTGATAAAAGTCTTTAGGAAACAGCAGAAGAAAAGACTGGTAATATCAGTGTCTTCCCAGTCTAAACCAGTCTAGCCCCTTTTAGCCCAGTGGTTGGAACCAGGCTAATCTAGCTGCAGATGTTGGGCCAGCTGTTTGGCCCCATGTTAGTCCCCAGGCTGCAGGTTCAGAGAGTTGAAGCGTCTAGTAGCTTCCTTTAAACGAGACAAGCGACGTAGAAGAAGAAACAGGTGCGTGTGTATTTTTAAAAAACTAAACCAGGCTTCACTGGGGAGCAGGAGAAGAATGCTGACCTCAGATCAGAAACAACAGCTTTACTTTTTATCCTGATAGAAAACAGAGGGAAACGTCATGTGCAAATGGGTCCAATCACAGGTGTTCTTCCTGTTCCTCCCACTCTGCTGATATCACATGGCTTCTGTATCCAATCAGGTGCATAGGCCGTTTGTACACACACACACCCGTTTCTAGAGGCTCAAAATGCTTATGCACCTGACTGTAACTACAGCCCGTTTTACCAAAGATGAATAAAATAGCGTTTACTTTGACTGATTACAGGACAATGGACACGGTGCCAGTACAGTATGAACATGTACACACTCTGACAGGTTCACACGTTGGATAGCAGCTTTAGAATCAGTACTGAGTGACTAAGTAGTTAACAACCCTCTGATTTCTCTTCACATTTCAACCAAAGGAAAAGTCCAAAACATGTCCTTCCTGCCAGCATGTGGAGACCCAAACCAACAGGCCTGATGCATCTTGCTCCTCTGTTGCAGGTTCATGTGCACACGCATAGCGCCACCCTGTGACAGCCACGCCGTTGCACTGGGTGACATGTTCCTTCATGAAGACACAGTGTTGTTCCCTCTACCACAGATACTCACTAGAGGCCAAATGTGAATTCATCCACTGCAGAAACTAGTCCCCCACAGATCCACTGTTGCCTCCAGCTGCTTTGATTAAAAAACGGCTGTGAGCAGCTGTCGTAGGAAACTACTGAGCCTTTTTCAAATCAAACGATATGTTTGTGTGCTGTTGTTAAAGACTGAGATCCTCAGTAAGAACCGACACGCTTGAAGCCACAGAGGTGCACGGACAGACTGTTGGTTTGGGCCTAAACGTGCGACTTGTTAAAAACAGAACTCAGTACTGACATGTCTGTACTTTGTATTTGTTGGCTGATTGAAGCTTTTTTCACCCAGAACAAACGTCCCAGCTTTAACACAGCTTCCACACCAGAATGTACTGGAAGCTGCGTTCAGTCATACTGTGTATATAATCCTTCACGTTCTCACTGGATGGTCCTGCTCGGCCTGTAGGAGTCTTTACTGTGCTTGTATCCCGTCTGATGTAGTTAACATGATGAACGTTGTATAACATGCACTGTACCTGCCAGAGACCAGCTTCTTTTGTTCACACAAAATTTATTGTAAATTGTTCAAACTTCAGTCTCTGGTGCCTTTTAACTGTTCACATTTATGGTTAATGATTCACCTTTTTATCATTGTTGTTTGTATGACAAGAAATGAAAATATATTTGCACATGTTTACTGAACCCTGCCTGCGTCACCTGTGGTGGTTTGTAGGGCAGAGCGGAGAAGCAGTGAGCTGCTGGGTCACAGCCCGACTGCAGCTGGTGAACATCTGGTGGAGGAAGACGGGAGGCAGGAAGTTACTGTCAGTCCACATGGAGCAAAGCTGAAACTGAGCCAGGCTGTGCGAGGGCGACAAACTGCAAAACCACCACAAACACACACAAACCGGTCACAGAGAGCATCAGGTGGTAACTGGTCGTGTACCCCCCATCTGTTGCTGCTGAATGAGCTCAGGGTGATGCTGGCTCCGTGACATTAATGCCTACACTGTGTGTGGATCCAGGCCTGTAAGCCACTTTACACTGCGGGCCAATCCGTCCACACACAGACACACACCGTCACCCTGAGGCAGCATTAATGGGCTTTCAGAGGTTCACCCAGTTCCCAGGCTGAACGTGGGAGACACTGGGACAGAACGGACGCCGCATTAAAAGCTGATGTTCAGGCCAGCGTCCTCGTGCACGCTGCCACCACTGCTCTGTCCTCATCTGCAGGACAGGCCCAGGGTTTTACTCTCTTTTGTTGCCTAACAGAAGCTAAGTGTGCAAACAGCTGTATGGCCCAGCTGTGCTTCCTGCTGTGTCACTCAACTCTGGAAACCTGCTAGTTTCATGTATTTTCACTGCCACTGAGGTTAGTCTTGAAACAAAGTAAACGGAGCAACTTGGATTAAATGATTACATTGAACTGTGAAGAGAGTTGATGAAGGTGGAGTGAGACACAACTGAGGCTATACCTGTTCATAAATATCAGCGTCTCAGCTGTTTGTCTTCTTGTCTGATTCTCACTGGCTTTGTCAGTGAGTTTAGTTCATAAAGCCGTTTTCTTCCGAGCAGCGCTAACGTCAGCCGACAGAGACAGAACGATACTGAGCGTCAGATGCTTCTTATTAGGGTCAGTGCAGGTCAAACAGGTCAAGCAGCTGAATGAGCGTCTGAACAGTGGAGGTTTGTTTCACTGAGGAGCCGCAGACAGAGTCAGCACCGGCTGCAGGTCATTTAAGACTTTGCTTCTAAATGTAATAACTTCGTTCATCTGACTTTCACATCATTTAGTTTTTATTTGTTGATGAAAAATGTAAAACATTTTGTCATAGTTCTCATTTTTCTAATTTAGTTTGTCTTAAAGAAGTCGCCAACAAATAGGCTATTTGTCATCTGGTCTGAAGGAGCTGAATTCTTTGTGCTTTTTTT